TGGGTCGTTTCTGGCTGCTACAGGGGGGCAGGATCGGGGGGAACCCGACGTGCCGTCACAGCAGGCCCCTCCCCCCCGCCCGCAGAATCCCATAAACAGGATTTTACATCCCTAAATGCGGGCTAGCCTGTCCAGTTCACATGCACCTCGTTGTAGTGGGGGAGGTGTGCTTTCCAAACCCTGCAGGCCACGTGAACAACAGCCACTTCTGCCCGGAAAACGCCGCTTGCCAGCAGTCTGGTTTTTCCTCAGCCCTGAGTGACACAGGCTTTGAGGACGTAAGTGCTAGTGTAGACATGGCCATGCGGTCCAGGTTCATCTTCCCCACAGCAAATAGTGCAGCTGCTGCTGTGTATGGCGGGGGGGGAAAGGTCGGGGGGGGAGAAAGACCTCTTGCAGGGGACCTTGATTTCCCTCGGAATCTGGCTTGTCTAGTGTCTGCAGCTTATGACCTTTCCCTGAAATTTTGAGCTTGATCCAGAGTTCCTGTCTCGCAGCCAGCCAAGTGCCATTGAGGGAGTGTCGGGTCAACACGCGTCTGAAGGAAGCCGCGGGTTCCACCCTTAACTGGGTGCCTTAGTGGACTGCCTGGTTGCCCTGTGATGTGGTCACTCCAGTTCTGGCTGTGGAGTGGGGTCTACCACCTTGTCTGCAGCCCTCTCACTGCTGTCTCGGGTGGCGGTGGGGCCTGTCCCCTAGTGGGCTTGGAGTCTAACAGGACTGTCGCGCTTTCTCTGTCTCCCACATAGCTGAGGTGGAAGCAGCAGAGGTCCAGGATCGGCTCGTCTACTGTTACCCAGTGAGACTGGCCATCCCTTCCCCTCCAGTCCCCAGCGTAGACATGCACGTGGAGAACAACGTGGCGTGTGTGCGGTACAAGGGGGAGATGGTGAAAGTGAGCCGCAACTACTTCAGCAAGCTGGTAAGGGCTGCGCTTCGGTCCTGAGGCACAAGAGAAACTCCCCCCATTGCAAATGGCCAGAGCGCTCTGCCCTCCCCTCACCTTCCAGGAGGGATGCTGTGCCGGGGGGGTCTGCCCAGTGCAGGATGTTTGAGGCCCAGAGGTCGGGGGGAGGCCAATGCAGCCGCAGTGTACATCTGGCAATGAACCGTTTGTGGACTGGCCTGCAGGCTCAGAATGCTGACGCGTTTCAGTGAAAATAGACCGTTGCCTGCTGTAACTCAGCCCTCCAGTATTAGGCCGCTCCTTAAACGTAGGGGGCAATACACTTAGGCTGCGTCTACACTGGCAGGATTTTCCGCAAATGCTTTTAAAGGAAAAGTTTTCCGTTAAAAGCATTTGCGGAAAAGAGCATCTAGATTGGCAGGACGCTTTCACACAAAAGCACTTTTTGCAGAAAAGCGTCCGTGCCAATCTAGACGCGCTTTTCCGCAAAAGAGCCCCAATCGCCATTTTCGCCATCGGGGCTTTTTTGCGCAAAACAAATCTGAGCTGCCTACACTGGCCCTTTTGTGCAAAAGGACTTTTGCCCCAACGGGAGCAGCACGGCATTTCCGCAAGAAGCACTGATTTCAGACAGTAGGCAGTCAGTGCTCTTGCGGAAATTCAAGCGGCCAGTGTAGACAGTTGGCAAAGGGTTTTTTTTTGCGGAAAAACTTGCCAGTCTAGACACAGGCTTTGAGCCAGTAAAAGGCAACAGTTCCTTGGTGTGTAGACATCCTGCGACACGCCTGTCGTTCCTGGCCACTGAGGGAAGGGCCAAGCTAGGTCACATGATTACATACGTTATAGTCCTAAAATAGCAGGCTCGCCTCTTTCGGGGGATTAGCTGCTTAGTGGCGGGGTCAGAAAGGAATCTCCCTCCCCACGAGAGCGGCTTTGCCAGCTGGCCAGGTTCATCCTTGGTTCTTCTGCCTTCGAAGAATCCGATATTGGCCTGTGCTGGACTCGAAGGCCCAGCAGTCTGATCGGATGTGAGAGGCCAGGCCGTGCCCCAAGGCAATAGAGACTCTTAAAAGCAGTGGAGCAGGGGCTGTCACTTGGTGGTGTTTGTGCAGTCCCTGGTGAGTTCACCTGCGGGCCTGCTCTCACCCTGCATCTCTAGTGGTTGGGAAGCCCTTGCACTAGCCTCGGCCGGCCCTGATTCCTTATCACTTCATCTCGCGGCTCCCCAACTCGCCTGCTGCTTTATTGCTGTGTGTAACGACCTGGGTTTCTCTTCCAGTGGCTTCTCTATCGGTACAGCTGCATTGACGACTCTGGCTGTGAGAAGTTTCTGCCCAGGGTTTGGTGCCTTCTCCGTCGCTATCAGGTATGGTTCCTTCTCAGCTCTGGCGGAATTGCAATACTGAAACTCACTGGTGCTCTGGAGCCCAGCTGCAAACTCTGAAGAGTGGAGCAAAGTTGGGCTAAAGGGGTTTCCTCCAGAGCTCGGGGTGGGGTGGGGTGCTGTGCTGGGGAGCTTGGCGTTGGTCGTCAAGCAGGGAGATGTGCACTCGTTTACAAAAGCAACCTGCTGCTCTTGGCTGGAGTTCCAGGGGAGGGGAACGTCATTGGATGAGCGACAGTGGGGCCCAGGTGCAATGTCTAGAGGCCATTCCCGGCTGCTCAGGAGACCTGCCTGAGAGCGAGGGGCAAAGGGGGTCCTGTCCGGGTCTGGGCCTGGCCAGAGTGCAGTGTGCGCACCGCTCCGAGGGCAGTCACTCAGCGTTTGCTCTCCAGATGATGTTTGGTGTTGGGCTCTATGAAGGAACTGGCCTGCAGGGGGCGCTCCCGGTGCACGTCTTTGAAGCCCTCCACAAACTCTTTGGAGTGAGTTTTGAGTGCTTTGCCTCGCCCCTGAACTGCTATTTCAAACAGTACTGCTCCGCCTTCCTGGACACAGACGGCTATTTCGGATCCCGCGGGTGAGTCTTGCCTTCTCTTGCCCTTGCCGTGTGTGTGTGTGCATGTGTGCGTGTGCGCATTTCTGGCCTGGGGGGACCTCTCTCCTGGACTTCCAGTGCTCACAACATTTGCTAGTTGACCTCACGAAGGCGGAGGTGTTCAATGCCTATTTTGTTTGTCAAAAGATGAATGGTGACCAGAGATCCAAACCAGTCATGCTGACGACAACAGGGAAAGAACGCAAGCCCAGATAGAGAAGGAGGAAGCACAAGAATAACTAGATAAATTAGCTACGTTCCAGTCCACAGTGGCTGAAGGAATTCATCCCAGAGCACTCGAACTAGCAAAGGCAATCTCAGAACCACTAGCAGTTACCTTTGAGAACACAGGGAGAACAAGTAAGGGTCCAGAGGATGAAAACAGGGCAACATTCCTGTCTTTAGGAAGGAGAGCAAAGAGGACCCGAAACTGGTAGACTGGTCAGACTAATTTTGATGCTATTAATCACCATGTAAGCAGGGATATGTGGAATAACCAGGAGGGATTTGTCAAGAACCAATTGTCAGATGCATCTAATTTCCTTTGACGGGGTTACTAGCCGATGGGCTGGGCAGAGGGGAAAGGAGTCGCCATGCTGTATCTTGATTTGAATTTGGTTTTTAACATAGTCCCACCTGATGTTCTTATAGGTGAATGAGGGCAATGTGGCCTAGCGATGGAATTACTCTGAGGTGGGTGCACAGCTGGTGGAAGGGCTGTACTCCGTGTAGTTGTCAGGGGGTTGCTGTCAGACTGGAAGGGTCTCTCTCCCTCCCAGTTCAAGTGCTACGTGTGGCAAATGAGTGTCAACATGATGCAGTTGTGAGGCTCGTAGTTCTGGGTTCTATTGGCAGATGTTGTGTGTAAGGCACGGGAGGTAACTTCCCCTCTACTCAGCACTGGTAAGGCCTCCACTAGAGCCCAGTGTCCTGTGCTGGCCATTGCACTTGAGGAAAGATGTGGACAAATTGAAGAGTCCAGGGGCGAGCAGTGAGAATGCTCCAAGGGTTAGAAGACCTGCTGTATGATGAACAGTTACAACTCCTGGCCATGTTGAGGACTGGGGGGGGATTCAGAATGTTATCCATGTCTGTCGAGGGCTGTTAAAGAGGGCGATGGCCCATTGCTCTGTGTCCACTGGAGATTGGAACAAGGAAGCTGCAGCGAGAGAGATGGAATTAGAAGCTTTTCCCAAGGGTGGCTCAGCACTGGAACAGGTTTCCAAGGGAGGCTGTGGAATCCCCAGCACTGGTGGTTTTTAAGAGGCTGGACCAACACCTGTCAGGGCTGGTTAGATTTACTTGGTCCTGTCTCAGGGCTGAACTAGCTGACTTGGGTCCCTTCCAGTCTTTCATCTGACATACTCCAGGCCTGGCTGTGGGTATGGACTGGCCGTGAAATGCTCAGGCCTGTGTTGCAGGCCCTCTTGGGACAGCGACTTGCTCTGGATTTGCCATGTTCACTAGGCCTGTGGGTGTGTCACTCTCCTACTGAAGGAAGAGGGAGCCTCACACAATTGAAAATAGCGGATTTGGAACTGTGGCGTGTTGGCCTGCTGCTTCCCATGTGGCCTGTCGCTCCTTAGTGGCCGCTTGGGCCACAGAGGAAGTAAATGTGGCAGGCCCTGCCTTGCTAGGATGTCGGGCTGCATCTGGCCACGTGGCTGCCCTTTTACAAATGCCAGAGTCTTGTAAGGTGTCTATTAACAGCGGGGTCTCCCTCTTCCCTTCAGCCCGTTCCTGGATTTTTTCCCTGTAAGTGGCTCTTTTGAAGCAAACCCTCCTTTCTGTGAGGAACTGATGGATGCCATGGTGTCTCACTTTGAGGTACGTCACTCATCTGCCACCCTGCGTCCTCTCTTCCCTCTGCTGCTGTCCTGCGTCCAGAGCAGCGGGTGGCTGAGGACTGGGGCAGTCTGGGAAGGCTGTTTCCTCCTTACAGAGCCTGTCTTGCTTGTCGTTACTTGGTCAGGACTAAGACTCTTCTTTTCCTTGTGGATTAGAAACTGCTGGAGAGCTCCAATGAGCCTCTCTCCTTCATCGTCTTCATCCCTGAGTGGAGGGACCCTCCGACGCCAGCCTTGACCCGCATGGAGCAGAGCAAGTTCAAGCGGCACCAGCTCATCTTGCCAGCCTTCGACCACGAATACCGCAGCGGGTCTCAGCACGTCTGCAAAAAGTGAGCGTGCCTGCCCTGGGCTGCTCTCGAGATGTGGTACATTTTAGAGAGGGCCTTGGCAGGCATCCCTGGCTCATAGTGGCAGCGGTTGGGGTAGGCAGTAGCCCAAGAAGAGTGAGGTGGCGTACCCCAAGTGAACCTCCAGCACGTCTGCGATTGGGCTCAGACGGCAGGGTCACTATATCTGGGCAGCAAGTTTCCCTGCTGCGGGCTGAACTCTAGTTTGGCAACAGCCGGGGCCTGGCAGGACTGGAGTGAGCCGGATGCCCACTTATCACGCGGGTGGCCAAGCTTCCAGCAGCCCCATAAAGTTTGTTTACAGCTGCCTGTCCTGGCTCTGTGTTCTGTGCTGCTGTTCAGCTCCACATGCCTTCGCAGAGCTCCGCAAGCTGCAGGAGCGTTGGTGATGCTGCTAGCCAATACCGACCTCCGTGGTTTGGCCGATTCTCTGGATCGGCACCGGCCAGGTCCCGAGGGCGCTGGACGAGTGGTTCAGCCTGTACTGAAGATTGTCATTGGCCTCCCTCAGGGACTTGTCACTGAGCTGAGCTGTGTGCCGCGTGGCACTGTGGAGAAGAGCTCCGTGCCACTTGCCAGCTGACGCCTGAGGAGCCTCTGCCGAGGAGCCTTCTGGGGTAGAAAATGCCCCCTTGCCTCTGCCCCTGAGGAACAGTACAAAGCAGAAGCTTGGGCCAGTTTTCACCATTGGCTTCTGCCTGGTGGGCAGCATGTGCTTAAATACCCCTTGTCCACACTCGCTTGCTCCTTGGCCCAGGAGGCCTGACAACATGGGTGTTGGTAGCCAGGCTGGCGGGACTTCCCAGCTGTGTGGTGGAGTGGGAGCTGCAGTGCGAGATGGGTACTTTGTTCCCTCTTCTCTCGCTTGCTGAGCTCCCTGCATCTTCCTGTCCCTCAGGAGCTAAGGGGGCTGCTGTGTGCGCTTGGCCGAAACCCTGGGAAGTGACACGCTGATCTCGGGGGCTCTCCCGTGGAAGGCTCCGAGCCCACGTGGGCGCCACGGAGCGCACCGCAGCGCTGTATTGGCTCACCGGGGCCGATCTTCCCCTGCCGATTTGAACTCCCCGTATGGCTCCCTTAGAGTGGCTGTTTCGCAGCACGGGAGGGGAAGGTGGTGGTGAGGTCACTAGCGTGGGAGGGCCTGGAGCCGTGGCTGGTGGGGAGCGAGTGCTGAGTGCCTGTCTTCCCTTGCAGAGAGGAGATGTACTACAAAGCCGTGCACAACACTGCTGTCATCTTCCTCCAGAACAGCGCCGGCTTTGCCAAGTGGGAGCCCACGCCGGAGCGGCTGCAGGAGCTCGTCACAGCCTATAAGCACTCGGGACGGACTCTCAGTTCCACAGGCTCCTCCTCTGCCTCCTCCACTTCTTCCTCAGTGGCAGACAAAGATCGGGAGACGGGCCGAGAGCAAAGCACCAGCCGGGAGACCAACGCCAATTAATCTGCAGAGGGCAGCGTGTGGGGACAGCCAGCAGGGGGCGGAGGGCACAGCGCCCTGGAGAAGGGGAGGTTTGCAGTGGCAGGTGGAGAGACTGCTGGCTGAATTGTGCTGGGCCTGGGGGACTCTCCAGGCAGCCCACACTGCTTGCTTTCCTCCCCAGAGTCCAGGGAGCGTCCCTGGCCTCATGCCCTGGGGAAAGGCTCAGCTGCTGCCCTAGGCGAGGGGCTAGGAAGCCAGATGTCGCAGTCATAGGAAGAGCCTGCAGCCCCTTCAAACACTAAAGCGTTGAGGAAGAGGCAGCAGAAGCTGGGACCGCTGTACAGGAGGACAAACGGATGGACTGACGGGCAGAGCTGTGGCCTGGTGGGCCCTTGGCAGCTGGCTGGGGCCTGGCATTTCCAGGAGAGAGGCAGGCAGAGCCCAGAGGCTCTTCCTGCTGCCTGGCCCCAGCCCAGCCCCCGTCCAGAGTGTAAATAGTTCTGTGCGCAGCGCCCGTGCTCCCTGCAGGGCCTGTCCGTAGCAGCCGTGTTTCCCTCCCGCGCGGGCGAGTTCCGTGCTGCCGAAGCTGGTTCCCGTAGGACAGAGGAGCAGAGCGAAGGGATTTCCGTGTGACGACGTCTTTGCAGCTGTTTGTAGTTGTTGTGGTTTTCCCTGGGGCCCTCTGGGCTTTATTTAACCTCCTCGGGGTTTGTTTTTTAAGGATTAATTTAACCCGCTAACCATTTTATTACGTTTATCAAAGAAAGCAAAGTAAAGTCTATTTTTGATTTTTGTTTCCTAGTTCTTAGGGACATTAAAAACCAGCATTCCAGCTGCCCTTGGTGTTGGTGCTGTTCCTCCTCCAGGGGCCTGGGACTGTCCGGGGAGGCCAGGTTCACCATGTGTGCCCTCAGATTCACCACTGCCTCCCGTGCCTCTGTACTGGGTGAATTCTAGGACGTGATCGTTTCTTACGGAGCCCACGCTTTGAATCTGCTTGTCTGAGGGCTTGTGGGTTGAGTGGGCAGGGGTGTGCGCGGCAGCGTTAGAACCGTGCCAGGGAGACACTCGCCATAGGCAAGGGAAGGGAGCCTTTTCCTGAGATTTGGAATGGCGGGGCGGGGGCGGGAGAGGTGGCCGGCACTGATCCCTAGGGCACAGTTCCTTAGCACTGCCACAGTAGCAGGACTGTTGAGGCCGTGAGCGGGGCTCAGCGCTGTTAGTGGGGACAGGAGCAGGGTGTGTTCGACCAGGGGATTATCAAGTAGTGGCGCTGGGCGTTGAGTGACACGGGCTCACTTGGTCTTCAACGGGAAAAGGACAGAAGGCCTGGGTGGCATGTGCCCTGGGACTCGGGGGCCTGGATGCAGCTGAGGGGAGACGGTTGTGAATGGAGAGAGCGACAGGCCAGCTGCTCCCAGGACTGCAGCCAGCGATGACGAGGTTGGAGCTCGCCTTGGAGAGGCACTTTGGCCCAGAGGCCGCGCTTTGGGGCGTGGGCCCTTGGACAGAAGTGAGGGGCACGGGCGCGGGTCAGAGGCCCAGGGAGCAGGCAGGGAGGGTTTATATTCAGTTTTGTTGTTTTAAGGCCAGGAGGGGCCATTGTGTTTATCTAATCTGATTTTCTGTATAACCTGCCTTTCCTGCATTAAACCCTTACCTGCTGGCTCAGCTCGTGCTCCTCTTTTAGATCAAACAGCACAGGTAAGCGCGAATGGCTAATTGTTACAATGTGAGCCTCCTTCCCAGCGTGCTTCCTGCCATCCGCTCTCGGGCTGTTTGCTGGGCTGGAGAGCCTCTTCCCCAGGTAGGGCCTGAGACTTAACTAAACGGATTGGATCTGAAGTCCTGCACCTTCAGGTTTTCTGGATCTCGAATCGTTCTTGGAGCTCTTGGCTGAACCGTTCACCTTTTCCAGTGTGGTTGGAACAAGACTGTGGCCCGTAAGGAGCTCGTCAAGTCCCTGCGGGTCCCAGGGCGCGCAGCAGAGGAGCGCAGGACCAGCGGGTAGCGGCAAGCGGGTCGGTGACCCTGGAGCAGAGGCTGCCGGAGCAGTGGGCTGGCATGAGTTGGGAACTTCCAGGCCTTTCTCGCAGGAAGCCAGGGGCCATGGGGCCAGTTTGCACGTGGTCGTGCATTCTGACCCAGTGCAAGGGCCCGTGCGCCGGAGCAGAGATCTGAACGGGGGCCGGGGGGCTCTTTGTTACATGGGCTGGGCCTTCCTGCCTCGATTCCGGAAATCCAGTGTGCACAGGCCCTGCAGAGACTTCTGGGATTTCAGCAGCGGCTGGAGCCTTCCTCCCTGAGCAGGTGTGAGGCTCCCTTTGGTCCTGGAGCTCACCAGATTGCTCGAGCCACTTCCACCCAGCCTGTTCCAGCCTCTTGGCCCCACGGGTCTGCATGTGCCACCCCAGTGACCGAACATGGTCCAGCACAGCAGCCTCCTGCCCTGACCACTTCCATCTGCTCCAGGCCAGGCACTGCGAGGGAGCAGGAAGCCTCCTTCCAGTGCCCTGAATGACCCCCTGCAGGCAGCCGTCTGCCTTGAATGGGGACGAAAGCTAGACGGAGCCAGGGAGGTAAATGGAGGGGGGCAGATTAGCTGAGGACTTGGAGGGGAGCGGGGTAGCTGACTGGGTAAGCAGCTGGCATTGGGGCAAGGCCCTGGCAGGTGAGTGACAATTGGGAGCGGCTGGGCACAGAGCGGGGCACAGGCAGGAGCGGTGTTGAGGCCAGGAGAGGTGGGTTGGGCACAGTGAAGGAGATGAGGAGTGGGGGGGCAGTGGGCCCGGGCTCAGAAACCTGAAGGGTAGGGTCTAGGCTGGGGCCTGGGGCACGGGAGAGGAGTCGGGGGAGAACAGGCTGAGGAATCGGTACTAGAACCCTCCCTCCCCCCCCGCCTGGAATGGAATCAAGATCCTGCGTCTCCCCGTTTCTCTGCAAGTGTCTGTCAACCCCCTGGCAAAGTGCGGTGCCTTTCAGTGCTGGTCCCCAGGCACCAGGCCCACCCGCTGCTGCTGCCTTGGCTCAAGGGCAGAGGCCTGTGGGGTCCTAGCCCTACCACTGAACCCGCTCGGGGCAGCTTGATGCCGCAGGAGAGAACGTGCGTGAGGCTCACCCCTTGAAATACCTAGGAAATGATCCATGGCCTCAGACCATTCACGACATCCATTGCTCCAACCAAGGAACCACTCAGGTTGGCCATGGAGCCTTAACTCTGCCCTCTTGGTGGGCTCTAGCTCCGTGATCACACTATTCCAGCCCCTGCCTCGGTGCGCGGAGGGCCTGCCCGCAGGGTAAATCACACGGGGTAGTGCCGTAGGGGCATGTTTCTGCCTCTCTGCTTGCAGAAGTTGGGAGGGCTGCTGTGAACAAAGCCGGGCAGTGCAGGGAGACGGGTGGTCTCGAAGGACCAGTCTGATCACAGGCGCGTTACAGGGCCCCTAGCTCGGGCTGAGTTCCTGGAGCCCTCGCATCCTGCTTTAAAGGCTGCCCGTGACAGCGGATCTGCTCTTGGCGCTAGCTGATGTGCGTGTGTCCTGTGCTCCACCCCACCCAGGAAGGTGGAAAATCTTCCAGCTCTGTGCCCATCGGCCCTGGAGGAAAATCCCTTCCTGACACCAAACCCAGTGCCCTGGGAGCGAGCCCCACCCCCAGCTGCCGGGGAACGAATGAAAATAGCAGCTCAGAGCCCCCTCCAATAGCGCCCCTCTCTGGGCAGGGCGGCTCTTCGCTCCTAGCCATGTGCCACTACCAGCTAGCTCATCCTGCCGCGTGCAGCCTGGGGGCCAGCTGGGCCTTGCTCCACTGCTTTCCTTGAGGCAGTTCCAGACCTGCCCTGAGGGCTGGGCAGTCTCTAAATTCACCCCCCACCACTGAGTGGCCAGTTTCTCTCCCTTTGCACTTGGGGCATGCGACTGGCCTTAGGCTGAACGAGCCCAGCTCCTGCAGCTGCCTCTTTTGGGGCAGGACTGGGCCGGGCTGCCCGTGACAGCGGATCTGCTCTTGGCGCTAGCTGATGTGCGTGTGTCCTGTGCTCCACCCCACCCAGGAAGGTGGAAAATCTTCCAGCTCTGTGCCCATCGGCCCTGGAGGAAAATCCCTTCCTGACACCAAACCCAGTGCCCTGGGAGCGAGCCCCACCCCCAGCTGCCGGGGAACGAATGAAAATAGCAGCTCAGAGCCCCCTCCAATAGCGCCCCTCTCTGGGCAGGGCGGCTCTTCGCTCCTAGCCATGTGCCACTACCAGCTAGCTCATCCTGCCGCGTGCAGCCTGGGGGCCAGCTGGGCCTTGCTCCACTGCTTTCCTTGAGGCAGTTCCAGACCTGCCCTGAGGGCTGGGCAGTCTCTAAATTCACCCCCCACCACTGAGTGGCCAGTTTCTCTCCCTTTGCACTTGGGGCATGCGACTGGCCTTAGGCTGAACGAGCCCAGCTCCTGCAGCTGCCTCTTTTGGGCCAGGCCTGGGCCGGGCCAGCGCCGGAGAAGCTGCAGCTGGAGTGGGCTTCTCTTAAGCCGAGCGGGGTGCTGTCCCCGCTGTGCAGGCCGATCTCTTCCTCCTCGTGGCCGCCAGGAATTCGGCCGCTGGCCGGAGCCGCCCTCCGCCTTCGATTTACGAGTCCATACGAGAACCTCGATCCCGGCAGGGTGAGTGGAGACAGCCTGGGGTTAGCGCTTTCATCCTGGTACCCGCTCCCTGCACCAATTCGCTCTGAATTCATCCCCGCGCCAGCCGAGGGCTCCCCAGGGCCGGGCGTAACGTCCGTCTCTACTGCAAATCCTTGGCCCGTGCGTCCTAGGAGTCGCCTCTTTCCCGTTCACATCACCGTAGCAGCTCCGGGTCCTGTGCCGGCTGGAATAAATCCGACTGCCTGTTCAGTAGCTGTCAAGGTCTTGGGCGCTTGCCTGGGCCCCAGCTTTGGGGCAGCCAGTTTTGTCCGCACGCTCCCGCTTCTGGGGCCGAGGTCCTGAATGAAACTGCTCGATGAGATTGGTGCCAGCACCAGGCCCTGAGCAACTTGGCTTGTAGCCACCGTCCTGTCTGCCAGCTCCTGGTTCCATCTGACCCCTTGGCCTCCCGGCGCCGGGAGTTGAATGTTGCCCTGGAGAAGTGGAGTCCACAAGGAGGGGCTGGTCACTGACTCTGCAGTCCCCGTTTGGGGGGGGCTGGGGAGTGCGACTGGCGGAGGGGGAGCTGAGGGGCTCTGCGCACACTACTAGATAGTGCTACGCACAGGCACCGATCGGATGCCAGCTGTCTCCTCAGGCAGCCGGGGGGGGCTTGGGCTAGCTGGGGGCTGGGGAGTGCGACTGGCGGAGGGGGAGCTGAGGGGCTCTGCGCACACTACTAGATAGTGCTACGCACAGGCACCGATCGGATGCCAGCTGTCTCCTCAGGCAGCCGGGGGGGTCTTGGCCTAGGTGCTCTGCCTCTGTTGCTGCTCCGTGGCTTTTCCAGCTTGCTCTGGACTTGCTCCCAGCCGGCACCGGCTTTGTGCTGCAGCCCCGTGTGGTGCAGTGGGGGGGGGGGGGGGGGCGCGGCTCGGTGACGCGG